TGTATTGTAGTTAAGTGCGAAGCTAGCGTGAAAAAAATCTGACCTGACCTGGCACTCTTCCCAAAGCAGGAGTGCCTTTTGATATCAAACATTAGAACCACGATGCAGAAAACTCCCCGCTCCCAGATTCGTCACCTTGACAGACAACAGCAGAAGTAAGCCCACAGGGTTCTCAAAGCAAGTGGTCACGCGGTGAAGGAACCCATAAAACATGCCACGATCAGCAGCCATCCGGCCGTTCAGAAAGGCACTGGTCCATGCAGTGATTGCCAACAATAGCACCATACACCTTGCCAGAGACGTAGCTGCGCATGATGTCACGGCAGTTATCGTACACAATCTCCGCGGCGGGCACGAGCTCCGCGACGGGCGTCGGCTTGTCAATGAAGGCGGTCCAGCTGACGCAGCACCGCGCCGTCTCGATCTCGAGACAGTAGTCCTGAGGGGTACCGCGGATCATGTCGTTGGCCTTGTCCGTCTTGAGGACCTTGATGAGGCGATAGCAGATGCTGGCCATGGCCTGGTGGGCCTTGTCGCAGACGAGCTCATTCTCGCCGCACATGGCGGACGACGGCTCGCCAGCGTCGTCGTTCTTGGCGATGGTGTTGTCCTCGCCGTTGGCGGCGGGAGTCTGGGTGATGGTGATGTCGGTGTAGTTCTTGCGGCCCCAGACGGAGAAGGTGCCGATGTCGTTGGTGTAGAGGTCGAGGACGATGCGCGAGGGGAACTCGGCCTCCATGGCGAACACGGCGTCCGCCTTGGGGAGAAGGTGAGGCGGGAGAGCTCTCGCGACCTGCATGTTGGCACTCAGCGCCGTGGTGGCCTCGGGGATAATCATCTTTGGCGACGGTGCACTATCGATGATCAGTTGTCTGTATGTTGCACTCTTAACACTTGGTAAGACTCGATGTGACCTTACCTTGAAGGCAAGATTGCCTCGACTTGCTTGTGTGAAGGAAAGGCTGTGAAAGAGGGAAAGATAGAGCTGCGAAAGGCAGTCCGTACGCCGCAGGATTTATACACGCCGCAGGAGAGAAAACATGTAATATGTGTACGTGTGCGTGTGGCTGACGAAAAATCCCTACCTAGGAAGTAGACAGCGAAATGAGAGACCGTGAGTGTAGAGCCCTCGAACTAAAGGAGTGCAGGAGAATAGTATCTCAAGTGTGGGAAGGACAAAATGCCGTCAAGGTCACGATACTCGAAAAAGCGTATCAACTGGTAGACCACCCTGCTAGAAAGAGACTGGCCCTGCCGCAGACTGGGGCACGGGGGATTGAGTTCTTTTCTAGACAGGCTATGTAGTTGTGGACTCCGAGACCTGCTCAGCAAGGTCCAAGGCAACGAATGATCTATCATGGATAGTAATGCCGGTAATGAGCACTCAATCAAGTGACATTGAGTGAGCAATCAAATAGTCTCAGTGGCTGCATCCTCTGTAGCAAATACAGAACTTAATGCGTCCTCACCGCAAGGGTCCACACTCTTTTGCGTCCCTCTTCCCAACAGAGCCTGCCAGCTTCCCACAGCTCGACGGCAGGCGGCTGCATATGTACTTCTTCGTAAGCCCTTGCGTGAACGTCGGCGTCCCTCTGGGATGATGTTAGGTTGAGCTGAGCAGGCCCTCAGGTTCCAGACCGATAAGTTGAGCCTGGAGACTAGAAACTTAGAGGAGGGGTGTAAGTAAGGAAGCATGCCATAAGAGGTAGGTCACCAGGAAGCAGATAGACCGGAACACGCGGCCATTAGAGTCACAAAAGTGTGGGAAAGCAACAAGGTTTGAGGTCTTGACAAACTTGATTTCACCCAAAGGTCCCTCTCTGCCCGGAGCGGAAGTATCCCTACTCATCCACCAACGCCATTCGCCCAACGTGGGAAGCCACTAGAAAAACCACACCAAGCAATCTGCTTTTCGCCCAACGTACAGCGAGGCACACTCCCAAGTCCCAGACCGAATGATCATCAAGATTCCTACGCCAACCACCATCGAATAGCGCCAGCATGACCCTCTCGTTAAGAGAAACAGAAAACGGGTTAGAAGGACCATGATACAAGGCGAGGACGCACAGCCTATTTAGTACTACAAGCAGCAGCAAATTCGTGAATGACTGAGGGGTATCGCAACTGCAGACCAATGACCGACCAACTAGTAAAGCAAACAACAGGATTGGTTCACACGCAGAACGGTCACGAACAAGTCAACAACGTGGCGAAAAAGCAAACTAAAAGCTAGGAAATCTCTGTTGGGGGAGTCCCGTGTGGAAGTAAGACGAATAGAAGGGGCAACCAAGTCGCAAAACCATCCGAACCCGACGCCCAAGACAAGCCCAGATGTCCAGAGAGGTAACTAAGGCCGCAAAGCATGCAATCGTCGTTCTCGTGATGTCTCACAATCGTATCCGCTATCCGTATGCCTAACATCAAACAAGTCCAAAGAAATATGTGTCATTCGCCCAGGTATCCATCGTGCAGCGTTAAGAGTCCAAGGCGGCGGCAGCGAACGAAGAACGATGAGAGAAGCTCGAGAAAGGGTGAAACAATAAGACAGTTGAGAGCGCAACTCTCAATATTTCCTCAAGTGCTCAACTTGAGCCCAGAGGCAAGGGGGCCGTCCAGGAGACCCTTGAAACCTTCGATCTACTACAGAGGATGTTAGCCCAGGTGTGTTCTGACACATGACCCATGGATGCTTACCTGAGGAGGGGCACCAGGAGGGCCCTGAGGTCCCGGAGGGCCATGAGGACCCGGCGCACCGAAGTGAGCAGGTCCGTAGGCGCCAGGGCCGGGAGCCGGAGCGAAGTAGTGAGGCGGGGGAGGGGCAGGACGGTAGGGGGTACCAACACCAGAGTTGTTTTGGCTGCGGCCCCAGCTCAAACGGACACGGGAGTTTCCAATAGGGTATCCCTGCATCTGGTTGATGGCCATCTCGGCAGCGTGGCGATGGACGAACTGGACGAAACCACAGCCCTTTCCAGGCGGGATCTTGACGTAGGTGATCTCTCCAAATCCTTGGAAGAAGCTTCGGAGCTCATCCTCAGTGACGTAGCCAGACAGGCCACCGACGAAAACGGTCGTGTTGTTGGGGTCGGTGAACTGGTTCATCTGCTGACCAGGAGGGTTGTAGGGGGCTCCGTAAGCACCGCCGTACTGGGCAGGCGAGGGAACGCCGTAGAAGCCCTGCTGGTGAGGGGGGAGGCCAGGCGCCATCATCTGGTTACCATGGTGCTGCTGGTAAGGGCCGCCGTGGTTGCTTCTGCTTTCGTTAGTTTCTCTCATTCAAAATTTGGCAAGACGTGCAAACTCACCGGTTCTTGGGGGTAGCGGTGGAGATACGCATGGGGCGGTTGCCGCAGTAAACTCCCTGCATCTCCACAAGAGCACGCTGCTGGTCCTGCTCGTCGGTGAAGCGGACGAATCCGTAACCACGCGACTGTCCCGACATGGCATCGGTCATGATCTTAGCAGACTTGCAGGAGGGGAATCGCGCCTGGAAGAGAGACACGAGAACGTATTCGTTGACCTCAGGGCCAAGGTCGCCAACGAAGATCGAGTACTCGGGACCACGATCGTCGCGGCGGTCGTTGATGCCGCCACCGGAAGCCCAGTTGAGCTTGAAGGCGCGGTTGGAGTTGGGGACGGGGGATCCGTTCAGGGTGAGGGCCTTGCTGGCGGCCTCGGACGAGGTGAACTCGACGAAGCAGTAACCGGCATTGCCCGAAGTCTTGTCACGAATGACCTTGACGTTGACGGGCTCTCCGGTGGCGGTCAAGAAGACACCCTTGATGAAGTTCTCATCCATCCAGGGCTCGAGCTCGCCCATCCTGTCTTGTGTTAGTCCAAGCTAGAATGCAAATCTGGATGGTCACGTACCAGAGAGTGTTCTTATTCGCGTCCTGCTGGATGGGGGCCTGGCCGCCCGGGATCTCTCCGGAACCATTGTTGCCGGGGAAGGGCATGCCGCCGGAGACGGGAGTACCGAAGCCATCGCCGTTAGCGTTGGGAGGGGGGGCACCGTTGCCCTGAGCGGGGTTGTAGGGGTTGATTCCGTCCATTTTGGTGGTAGGATAGTAGTGACAAGTTCAGAACTGTAGCTGTCCGCTTTCAAAAATGGTTGATGGTTTCGAGAATCGAATCAGAACGGCCTGTTTTAAGACGCAAAACCTGTACTCCGAAGGGAACTTGGTAAAAAGTCGATTCTCTCTGACGCCTGCACGCCCCGTTGTGAAAACGAAAAATCGAGATGTCGCGGGATGTTCGTGCAAAAATGCTTTAGCCGCCGACTCAAAGAACCGAGCAATGCTTCAAATTCGACTTTTAGGTCTGTTTCGCCGTGGCCAACGTGAACTTTGAACGGTTCGAGAAAAGGTCAGAGGAAGAATCCGAAATGATTGGACCTGACTAGGGTTAGCGTTCAGATGTACACATGTCATCCTGTCAGCTCGTTGTGACAGTTGCATTCACAATCGCATTCGCAGTCACTCCGCAGTTGCTCGTCCAGCAGCTGTGCCCGCAGGAATCATCGTGGGTGGTGGTTGAGAGCGCAGCACATGCGGCATGTGTCCAATGCCGGTCAAATTGGTACCGTGGCAGGGACGTCCCAGACAATCCTTCGCAAACGGACACCTGAGGGCAGATATGGTATAGAGAGCTTGCAAGCCCTTCAGTCGCATACCTGCTTGCAGTTGAGGTGTAGCAAGCTTTGAGAGGGCGGTGGTCGGGCAGCTTGTGAGGCAATTGACGGAGGTCATCTGACCGTCTGCCTTTCGCGAGACACGTCATCTTCTCAGCAACGAGAGGCCTTGGTGACACAAGACCAGATATTGCCATCTAGCCTGGTGCTTTTTCCTGTCCTCGGTGTGTGATGCGCTGCGAATCCAATCTTCGCCTTCTCCAGTGTGTTGCGGCATTTCGGCTAGGCGTTGGGCTTCATGACGAGAGAACCGTGCCATACGTCAAACCGATATTGCAGAAGTTCGTGATGAGACCTTCCTTCCTTCCCCATGGCCAAAAGAAGCTGCGAACACGGCGCGGCGGGTGAGGTAAGACGGGACTTGCGGATATTTTGGGTGCGGGGGTGAGGAAGAGCCGGTTGCTGATGGTGCATATTTCGTTTTCCCGGGCGTCTGACGGTGACGACTCGTTGCACGACACGTCGAGGCTGAATGGCTTCGGCATTTGGTTGTCGATCTTCAAGCGCGATCCGGGATTATCCACGATGCATGGAGGGGTTCGATGATGCGCCCAGAACTGCAATTCCATCTTTTCTCCGACCAACATCCTCCAGAATCGCTCTTGGGGTCAATTCGAGGCGAGCAACGTCGAGGTACTCAGCAGAGGATTGCCGAGGATGCCGAAGGCCGGATGGTCGGACACGAGCGTTCGATTTGCGACTGCGGCTGCGGTTGCGGATGCGACTGCGAGAATGCGACGGCGGAGGGGAAGAGGAGTAAAGGCAGAGAGAGAGGTAGGAAGAAACAGTGAGGCAGAGATAGAGAGCATTGATTACTTACTTTTGGGCGCCAACAAAAAGACTCTTTTTCCGGATGACCAGGAAGAAACGTCGTGCGACTCGTAAGGAGGGTGGGTGAGAGTGGTGAGGAGGAAGAATTACAGAGTAATTTTCGTGTCGAGGGAGGAATTTGGGAATGGGGGGGTTAAACGACGTGGGAGGAACCGGACAAGGAAGTTGCGCGAAGAGATTTTTTTTTCGCAGCTGGTGAAGGCCGTGGATCTCGCTCTAGTCAGTGGTGACGTGAGGTGGACAAAAAACGCGGCAGCTGGAGCAGCACGGATTTCTTTTGCAACAACCAAGACAATCGCTGAAAAGGATGCTTCGATTTTTTAGCAAAACCCGCAGAGCAACGCAGAGGAGCAGAGCAGATCGCAGAGAGCAGACAGAGAGACGACAGAAGAGGCAGAGAGAGGTGCAACTCTAAAGAAAGAGGAAGAAGGAGAAATGGACGATGATGGGGGTAGAGGGGGGAGTGGGAAGAAGAAGGAACCAAGGGAAGGGAAAGTGGAAGGAAAAGGAAGAGACCACCAGCCAGAGACTCACGCCAGACGCCAAACGGGGTACCTAGGCAAGTACCTTCCTTACTCACTGGCAATGGAGGACGCAGGTGCAGGCGCAGGCGCAGGCTCGGGACGTAGAATGTGGATTTTTGGGCGAGGGGGAAAGGGAAAGCACGACCTGAACTCTAGGGGTGAGAGGGGGTGTGCGAGGCGGAAGGAAGACAGGCAGGTACCTTCCTGGGTATTGATTTAGTATGTGCGTGTGTGCGCAAGAACCCAAGGTTGTGTGTGTCCATATGTGTGTGTGTGTGGGTGTGGAAGGAACCTTGGGCCCTTAGGGTGAGGTGAGCTAAGGTACCTTACCACATACTTGGCTATTTTCTCTGTCTGTTTCTCCCGTTTCTTCCGTCTCTGTTTTGCGTGTCTCCGATGCTGTTGCTGGGGACGGCAAGTGCTTGTGTCCGGTACCTAAGGCGGCTAGAAGTATGGGATGTCTGTGTGCATGTGGTGCTGTGCGTGCCTCCTCCCCAGCTCTTCGGAGCAAGCAGGGCAAGGTATCTCTTACCTTAGCTTAGCTCTACTTTTTACAAGGTACCGGTGGGAGAAGGTAGGTACTTTTACCAAAGGTAGGTAGGGAAGGTATGGAGTCGAGGTTGAAGTGCCTTCCAGGTTGAAAGTTGAGCGCAGGTGGAGCATCAGCAGACGAGCCTGTTTCCTTACGTACCTACCTCAACTTAAGCCGCACTTTACTGTGTGTGTACTAGCCGGGTGCATCTCAGCAAGCAAGCGCACCGGGTCAATCCAGGTCAGCCGCAGCAAAATAGAACCTAAGAGGCTCAGACTCCAAATCGACGAAGCAGCAAAGTGGGCAAGTCTCCATTGGCCATAAGTCCATGGAGGGTTGGTGTGGGTCTGGTGTCGGTGCTGATGCCGTGCGCTGGAGTCGGGGGAGCCGTGGCTGCCACCAGCGAGCTTTAATAGAACGCCGGCAACAGGCGGACTGGCATCGCGTTTTTCAGGTCAGGTACGTGCATCTACGGAAACAGCACGAGGCGCCCGAATGTGTTTGTTTTTTCTCTCTTGGTTTGCCCTTGCCTCCATGTTGAAGTCGTCAGCGAGATTTTACTCCAGGACATTGGATATATCGATGACAGTTTGTGGTGAGGCAAGTACTCTCAGGGTTGGCCTGGGGCATCCACCTCGTGACTCCGAGGCCAGATTACCGAATGAGAAATAGGGTGTCGTGTGTGGGAAGGAATGAAAGGAAGGAAGCCGACAGGTACGGAATACAAGCAAAGGTGCAGGTGCAGCTGACAGCCCTCGCAGCAAGTGACAACCGACTTTCCTCGCGACACTTTGGTTCTGTCCTGGAAAGGAGTTTGCGCTTCCCGTGTTCTTTCCACCTGGCCGGATAATTTTCAATTCGATATACCTTTACGGAGCACCGATGCAATAGGTAATAAGCTCTTTCCGTCCGTCCGTTCATGCCCAATTGATAATGGATTGGCGCGTGCTCTGTCCCTTTCTACCCTGACCCGGGACAAGAACGAATGAAGAGCGCCCCAATCCAATCCGGCCCAGCTTGTCCAGGTTCTTTGCACCTTGCAAATGACAACTGTACGAAAAGGCAATGTCCGGGACTATGGGCAGCAGAGACTCAACCTCGGAGGCTCAGGTTGGCCCGGTCACTGGCGGCGTCAACGTGGACTTGCCCTGACAGGAAAGGCATCCCGGCTCCTGCCCTCGCGTCCCCCCATCTGCCTGAAAACCTTGTTGCTGCTCATGGGCTCCATCTTTTGCATCCTTTTTTGGCTCCGTGACTCCGTCCGGTTTCTTTCGTGGACCTATTCCGCTTCCCATGCGTCTTTGTATCTTTTCCTCCCAGCTGCATGCCGTACCGCATCCGCAAGATGTAGATCGCCCCAAAGCCAGACGACAGAGAAAAAAGACTTTCAGTCACTTCTGATGCATGCCGCCGGCCATAGCCAATCTACGATCTTGCACCAAAACGACGGTACCTTAGGCCTCATTAGGGCGAGGTAGGGCAATCCTCCGGGCAGATCATACGGGGGCGGGAGAGACACGCTAAGCGCAAAACGCAGTTGCCCTACGTTGACGCCTCGTCTCGCCTGCCTTACCTTGCCGTGCTTGCCTTAGCTGGAGGGGAGCTCACGGCGCGAATCCCAGTACGTACCGGATCAAGACGCGAAATGGCGTCACGCAAAAAGGGAGGAGCAGGGGGGTCCGCCGGATTGGGGAGGGGCTCTTTTCTTGACCCTGCAGCCAGGTGTCGCCTTATCCCCGATGCCTCACCTCAAAATCGGGAGGAAGGCACGAAGGTACCTATCTTACCACGGGAGGTACTTCGATATCACAGTTCGATACGGCAGTGAATTTTCGATCAACCTAGTATCTGCGCAACATGCAATACCCAGTCTGCCAGAAATCCATTCTCAACAGATAGATAATACCTCATCATCACATCAATCAACCTTTTCAAATGCAGCCACCTTGGTATATTGGCCTCAGTAGCCTTACTCAAGACAAGTCATCTCTCCACCTTCACGGTCGTCGGAAGCCCCAACCACACCAGCCACAGCAACAGGAATGCGAGCTGTTCTTACTTCACCTTCACTGCGAGCCTCGAGGACAATCATCCCAGGCTTTGTTTGCTTTTCCGGTTGAGGCCATGCGAATTCACTCGCTACTCGCACCGCATCCAGCCGGACTCGAGCAACGTCGGCCCGGCAATGGTTCGCTTGAAATGCGCCGGCTCAGTCCCTCATTCCAGATGCCGCTCACCGATCGGGCCCTTCCCGCTTGCATGTCTCTCCATAATCAGCCGCTGGCCGCTGGACGAGCACGAACGACGAGATGGCGGATGCGACAAACACCAAAGAGCGAGCCGCATACAAGACATGGGCCTCCTTTCATTTCTTTTTCCCCGTCGCTGACTTCCTCCACGGAAACCTCCTCGACAACTTCTACGTGCGCCAGCCGATGTTAGTCTTCGAGGCGTGTTGACTCGCCCCCCCCCCCCTTCCCTTCGAACATGTCCCAGAGTCAGCGGGACATGTCGTGATATTAACCTTTGCCGCAGCTGTCTTCGAGCCTTAACTCGCTAACCGATTGTGCGCGCACCATGTTTCGAAACAGTTCGACGGTGTCAGTTTCTGCTCCGATCCAAGGACAGTCCTCGCTCTTGGCCACCCGTTCGCTCCCCCAACAGTGCAGAACACTCGAGCTTCTTCTGTCTGTGCAGCTGCCGCACGACCGCCCTCATCTATATCGAGGAAGCCACTCTACAGTTTTGTACATAGTTCCGATTACCACTTCTAGCAACGAGATCAACAAGTAATGCGCCAGAGCATGCTGTTTGCACACGGTGGACTTGGCATTCGTGGCCTGCGACTATCTCCTCCCAACTCGTCACGACAGCCAGCTAGTATGACCGTCACCGAAGATGCCGGCCGAGTAGGAGTCCTGGCCGACCGGCCAACCTTGACTACGAAAAGACACGTCAAAAGGCTCTGATATCGGCAAGTCATGGCTGCCTTGCCTTCCTTGGTACCCCCGTCCGGGAGATGGTCGAATAGCAGCGTTGACGTTGCACGGTACTTGCACCGCACTTTACGCGATCCTCGTCCTCTGAACAGGTCACCCCTGGCTTACGGGTGACGTTGGCAGAGGCATTGATTAATTGTTCGTCTACGGATACCGCAGTCGTCAACCCCGAAAGCCCCAGCGGCCAGAACGGCCCCTCCTTACGAAATCTGGTTAAAGTGCTGTCTCCGCGCCTCATTGACACGCTGGCACTCCGGCAGCTAAGGCACGCGTCTCCTTGTCCGGGGCGGACGGCTGTGAGGTTCAACAAGGAGCCGAAGCCTCGGGATCTGGGCATCGTCCGCCGCTGTGCCGCATCCACCCTGTCGGCTAATTGCCCGAGCGATGCTCAGTGGTGATAATTTTACGACTTCGAATGGGCTGAGAGTACACCGCGCGTCCGCCATGGGTACTGTTCAGGATTGTCCATATTACGGATTCAATCTTATTCGGATCGCTCAAGTTCTCATGTATGTAAAGGGCCGAAGCTGTCGTCGGGCTTGCAGCTTTTGCACAGCACCCAGTAGCACCCAGCACGACTCGCATGACGGTGAATTTCGGGTCTCCGTCGCATGCCGACTGACGCTTATTGGGTACATCAATCATTGGCTTGACAGTATTTTTTTTTTTTTTTACCCTGAGAAATGAAATCATCGGTCGGACCAGGGTGGAAGGGGGTGGCCGCATGAAGGAGAGTTCCCACTGCTACCGTGGATCGAGGTGTGGGAAGAGTTAGATCTCTGGATTTTCTAGCCCTTCTCTCTCACTGGTCGCTGCCTCGACGCGCCATGTGGCCCGGCCTCACTCAGAGATGCTGTGGGCTTGGATTGGTGGTGAGTTCAAATGACTCCCTTTCCCTCCTTCAT